GCCCAAGAGACTAAGAACTAAATTCTGTCATCAATTATGCATGTACAACTGCCAAGGGAAGTCAATGGTTCGTGCATATAAATAACCAAAGGCAGAATTTGGCTATAAATCAGTAACAGACCAAAGAACTTCAGGACAGAAGAACTGCTATACCAGAGCACACAAGTGATCTACTTAAACATTTAGCATAGGGCCAGTACCAGATGCTTCAGAAAAAAAAGGTACAAAAACAATGTATTAGACAATAATTAAGCAGCATGTCTTTCTGGGAAGATTTTCCCTGAACCCTATCTTTTACTGGTTGGTTTATGCTAGAAGCTTAACGATTTTATAAGCCCGATGCTTCTTTTTTTTTTCTAATCCTGTAGCATGTAAGTAAATATTTTCCATACAAAAGCTTTACTCTTTCTTTAATTATTTTCCTAAATGTTTTTCCTCAATGGCTTGTGGCAATAAGTTCTGTGGGTTAATTATTTGGTAGTCTTGGACTGATGTAGCCAGCATGGTCCAGGAAATATGCAAGAGGCAAGGAGTTCTGCAGGTGATATCTTTTTTTGGACCAACTACCTGGCTGGAACAGACTTAGATAAGCTTTTAAATGTGAAAAACTAAAACTAATGCATTGCATCCAAAAGCTTGTTAAAGTCTACCCCAGAGAAAGAGACAGTCTGTCCCAACCAGGCAGTTGATCCAATAAAAGGTATCACCCACAAAACCCTTGCTTTTCATAGGTTAATAATGCAGTTTAAAAAAAACATTCCTTCTTCTCTTTTCGATTTGTTGCTTTTCAGTTTTTCTGACTATCACCTTGTCCTTTTATTATCAGGAAGAATAAATGGGACCTCCTGGCTCATCTCCTTTATAGCACTATCATCCTATCTCCTCTTTTAAGGGTCTAATTCTCCTACTGTCACTGGCCATATGTAGACGAAACGAGAGGCATGTGTGCACGACACTTTAAAGCAAGCTAAATGATTTTGAACTGCTTTAATGGTGTCGATGTTTGCATGCCTCAGCAGCATATTGTGCATTAATTCCAGCTGCTGTAGGAAATTTGGTGATGTAATGCACTTTAAATGACTTGGGGCACAACAAACCCCTACAGCCAAGGAGTGAAGCACTGGGCTCCAGGCAGCTTCACAGCTCTGCAGGCAGCCTGGCAGCAGCCCAGGAAAGCAGCTCCGCCCAAGAAAAGTGGTGAGCCCAATCCCCCCACCCCCCCAGCCTGCCTGAGCTACGCAGGGGTCCGGTGCTTCCCTCCAAGGCTGCGGTGTCCCCTGGGACTGCCTGAGCCAGGTGCCTGCAGGCAAGTGCCACCTGGGGGGAGGTGCTACAGCCACGGAGGAAAGCACCAGCCCCCACCGCAGCCCAGGGACTGCTCCACCTGCTGGCAACTCATCCTCCCCTCCCCACCGAAAAGGCACATAAGTCAGTGGGGTGTGTGCACGACACGGGGGTTTAATCAGCCCTAAATTGAAGCGGTGTTTTTTAAAACCCACCACTTCAATTTAGGGCCCCCGTTTTGTCTACACATGCCCACTCATACTAAGGAAAGAACCAGCCTGCAAGTGATTCCACTCAACTGAAAGCTATTTCTGAGTCAGGCACAATTTAGTGTGCACTTCTTCAGCCTAAGACACTAGGGGTAGGAAAGACTGAAAGCCATCTCTGTAGTCTCACTTCCCAAAGACCTCTGACATAAGAGATGTGACTGAAGGTTTTCTGTGTTCCACCAAGCCCCTTTGGTCTAATGATCCTTTGTGGACCATCACCAACTGGCATAACTAAGAGCAATCCAAAGGTTTCTAAGTTGTGCCGGGACCCAAGCTGGTTTTAGGATCAGGAGAGCACAAAGGTGGCATGCAGCTGATTTTGCCCCTCCCATTCAAGTGCTGTGCCAGTTGTGGCCGAGTTAAACTCAAAAATTGGGGACACATTTTATTACATGTTTAAGAATTTGGATTTACATTTGATTTATTTTTAAACCTATTATGATCTTCTTTATATGTGGCTTAGAAAGAGTATGAAGGAGGCAAAAGGCACATGCATTTGTACATATGAGTGAGTATAGTAGAAAACCACTGGTGATGTGCGAGATCCAAACCACAGTGCTACAATCTCATCTAGTTACTAGTGTTTCGAGTTTCTAGTAAAAAATCTGATTTCTTCTCCTTAATAACTCTGAATCATAAAAATAAGAGCTAGAAAAAGGCCTATTTTGTCACGTAATCCAGTGGTGCTCAACCTCTGCCTTATGAGCCAGATCCAGCCTGCAGAGCCATGTCATCCAGCTCATGGACTTCTGCACAGGTTCAGAAATTTGGCAGCAAAGGAGCAGCCACAATTAACATTGCCACCACTCCCTTCTCACCAAATTTCCAAGCCCTGCAAACTATACAACATGGTCCTGGGGCCAAATGTGGCACATGGGACCAACAAGGTGGCCAAATGTGGCACATGGGACTGGGGCCCAGCCAGGTTGGCCCCATGCACCAGATCAGACCCCTGAGTCAGGTTAATGAGTCAAGCTATTGAGCTCACACCACTTTCCTCCAAGGACTCTTTCCCAGACAGATTGTACTCTTAGAAAAATCTTTCCTTCTCTGCAGGAGAGGTAACTTACTGCAGCCATGGAGTTGATGCGATCAATGTAGTGATCTGGCCAGCTGGTAGCAAGCTTATTAGGGTCTTCCTGTTCCTAAAAATAGAAAATTAAACAAGGTTATATGTAGAGCATTTAAAAGGAGGAATCTCTCTCATAAAGGTGGTACTATCTGGGATTCTTCACTGTGTTACCTCCAGCCCACTTCTATATAAGGCACATAGGTTTAGGGCATTTATTACAAACTTTTTCTGAAGACATAAAGCTAGAGCTGTCACTGTGGTGGAAGAGAAGAAATGATCATGCTTTAGCAAGGCTTACTGAAAGCAGTGTTAAGAAACTGATGGAGGCAAAGTTATCCATGTGTACCTGAATGGCAAACCTCCACTCCTTACAATATGCTGGAAATGCTCCTAGTAAAAAGACAGGCCTTTCAGGCATAACAGTTATGTTTTCTGAGTTTTACAATTTGTGGATTGTTTTTTAAATATTTTGCTTTATTTCTGCTAATGAGGCAAAGAAATTCACTAAAAAAGTAGAGTGAAAATGTTTGCCATGGAAAAAAAATACAAGCCAAGGAATCTGCAAACAGGTCAAATGACTGCTTCGCTGGTGATCTGATAAACAGTGGAAGCTGAACACCACCTGAAAGCGTGCTGGGGAACAGAACAGCAGCCTGCGAGCTACAGTGAAACCTGTGTTAACCTCCTCTGCAGAATCCATCCTAGGAATCATGTCCCTGTGCATTTTCTAGTTCAGTGAACCACACAGCCTTCAGTTAACATCCTACCTCTACTTGGCAACCAATATTTGCTGGTTCTTTGGGTGGTCATTTAAAAGAATTTTCACTTTTTCAGGTATTTTACTTTATTTTGTGAAGGGCAGATGGACAGATATAGTAGGTACCAGTAAAAAAAAAAAAAAAAAAAA